GGAAAGAGAGGGCATTTATTTTGGAGCCTTCGGTTGTATGCAAAAGTGCCTCTAGGGATTAGACTCGGATGAAATTTTCACTTATTGTCTGTGTTTTGTACCCTTGCAGTTGTAAGGAGAGGTCGTGAATGGAAATAATAAGAATAAACTGTACTGTAAAAAAACCAACCAAACAAAAAACCACCCTCAACCTATTTTCAAATACAAGTCACGGCTGCAGGTTGTCAGTCGTGTTCGTTGTTACCATGACACTTCCCAAAAGTCAAACTTCTACCACATGAGTAGTGACACACCTATCCACTGTGAAGGTAGTTTAACGATATTGGTATAAAATAGCAGGTATGTTTTTACTTTACTTTAGATATTTGTTTTAACCAAAAAATATAAAGGGAACAAAACCTCTCAATATTGACATTGCGTGCAGTGTAATTTTAAGTTATGTGGTGTCTCACGCTGTTACTACTCAAATAAATACTTGTTTTTCATATAGTTTTCTGTTGTGCTTTCTATTTTGGGGTCACTTAAATGCATAATGTTTTTTTAAAGTCAGAGTTCAGTGCATTTTCTAAAACTTTGCGTTACAGAGGTTCTTTTGAGTTCAGGTTGCTCACAGGCAACATCGTTGTAAGGTCTTTGTACATGTAACAAAATTAATTTTATTAGAAGTTAGGAGTTTTGCCTTTGATATTGTTGAGTACTCAGTTTCAGAAGACTATTGTCAATTGTATCTGAGATTTATTTTTTTTTTTTATAACTCAAAGTGGTCTCTGCATATACAGCGTTGTAAAGTAAATGAAAGCAACGCTGTAAAGGCAATCTGATTTTAAGCCTGTAATGATTTTTATGTTTCCTGTCATAAAAGATCCATCTGCTAAATTGTAACGGATTCTTGGTGTCCTCGCTAAAAACAACTATTTTTTTATGCATTTCCTCTTCTCCCTTAAACATTCTGCTTCTCACTTAAAGAGAGGAGAGGTTTCTAACAAGTGTCACCTGTTGAAGCACCTTGCTGTTCCTTCAGTCAAAAGAGGGCACGCTGTTTCCCCGCGTTTGTGCTGCGCTGCGTGGTGTTTGTCTTGCGGTAGGACTGAGTGGTGGCAAGTACGCATCTCCTATCGGCTCTAAGCGAGGTGCTCGAGGAGGACTGGGGGCGCACCTCTGCGCCGGGCCACGCAGGAGCTCTTTCCCATTTTCCTTGTACATACACTGTGGGAACAACTTGGGCAATGACGAAATTATTTGGGAAAATGACAACGCTTTCAGCTGAAGGATTAACAGCTCTCATGAGGGTGAACTTCTGATGGAATAGGTAGTGGAGTGGGATGCATCTCACTAATAATACATCTAAAACAGCTGAGAATGAAGGAAGTTTAAACATCCAGTGTTGTTTTCTTAGGCTAATTTAACTGGTTGCATAAGTCTGATAAAACTAGCTAGGCCAGTTGTAGGTGTAAATACTTCTGATGTGCTTTTAATGTCCTCTGGAGGAGACAAGACTCTTTTTCAAGGTACTTTTCATTAGCATTATGTGAATTAATGTAAAGTGGGTTTAGAAGTGATGCTGGTTTTATTGCAGTTGAAGTGGTTTAACCCATGTATGTTAACTTGTGTTCTAATGTAGGTAGACAAATGGCATCAATAATGCACAACAGATCTGAATTTTTAAAACAAAGCCATATTTTTTCTTCAGTTCTAATAGTAGGGATCTCTGCTTTTAAAGCCTGCTTTATTGCCATGAATTTTCTTTGACTGCGAAACATATGCAGATATACGATACGTTGATAGGCATAAGGTCTTTAGGTGACTGTGTATCTATTAAAAGGTTAGTTATTCCAAGTAATCAGGAGCTACGGCATCACATACAGTTCTCTGCTCACAAAGTAGTCGTGTTTTGAGAGGTCAAGGTAGCATTCCTGTTTGATGCAGCGTCCAGTCGGTGGTTTGTTAAGCACTTGGCAATGCTGGGATTTTTTCTAGTACGTTGCCGCACTCTCAGTGATCGTTTTTCTGAACACTTCTTTATTATAAGGAGGAAACAGATCTTCTCCACACCCATTTTCAACATCCTTTTGAAAGCAATAAACTGCAACTGTACTATTTCCTGTTAATCATGATACCCAAAAAAAGAAAAAGGAACTAAACATCCCTCATATATTGAGATATGTGATTCATTTTGATTTTAAAGATGACATTTTGGGAAAGAGATTGTACTCTGCAATGGGGAACTCTCGTAAGGCTGGGGAAGAATTATCAGAGATGCTTAAATAGGTAGTTTCTTCTTTGACTTGCTGTGTTTTGGGAGGTATTGCTGTAAAAAGTAAAAGCATTTTTCTCTACGTCCTTTCCATCTCTTTCCACATAGAGCATGCCACCAGTGATTTTTGCCAAGCACATGTTTTGCTGAATGTACAGAATGGTCAGCCAGCGGTTTCTGTACTACGCTGTGGGGAAGAGGGATGCGGCAGTACTCCTGTGTAGCTTGCTGGAAATCTTCCACGTGTTCTTAAATTGGTCACCTACTGCTGCTCTTGATCGATCTTAGATTATAACCACATCTCTCACAAATTCCATCAAGTAATAGAAAATCCTACAAACTTATCCACTGAAAAATTGTCCATTATTCTGTCCACTTTTGTTCTGCCAGGCTGGACGAACACTGCACAGCTATGGAGAATGAGCCAAACACAACAACATGTTCTGCATCCACAACGACTATCACTACCACTTCCACTTCACGGACGCAGCTGCCGCAGATATCTGTCTACAGCGGCTCTGACAGGCATGCCGTCCAGGTACTGCGCTATGAGATGCTCTTTACTGTCCTGCACAGTGCTCTCAGATACAGGCATTGCACAATACTTTACACAAGATTAACTTTCCATTCTTAATCGCTGTCTTCTTTCTCAATATCCAACTTACTGGTTTTCAGAAGATATTGTTTATCAAAGGGTATCAGACCACTTAAGAACAGTGCAGGGTACAGGCCTACCTCCCAAATAAGGGAGGGGGAAATGCTATGCTAGAAAGTTTGGGGTTTTTCACCATTCCCTAAGGGTTCGTGTTATTGCGATAAGCCTTTACAAAATAACACAAAATAAAGCTGTTAGTTTGACCAAGGTTGACTACAGGGATCCAGAGGTACCTGTGTGTGTGTAACTTCTGCTTTGGATCCAGCCACCTCTTGCTGTTCTTTAAATTAGGTCTCCTCAATCTCTGTACAGCCCATTCTGTTGGGTTTGATAATTGAGTCTCTCTCATGCTGTCCTTATCTTTCAAAAAGCAGAACACTATGTAGGACTTGTGGGCAAGAACCTAAGAGGCTTGGATGTTGTGTTATGAAGTTAACATTCAAGGTCAGGTTGGACAGGGCTCTGAGCAACCTGATCTAATTAAATGTGTCCCTGCTCACTGCAGGTGGGTTGGACTAGATGGCCTCTAAAGGTCCCTTCCAACCCAAAGCATTCTATGATTCTATGAACGATGCTGTATTGTCAGCTGATTGTCAGGCTTTCCTTGAAAACGTGAATATATTTATGTTGACTATATTCTGTGACTTGGTTGAGAACAGTGATGGAGCAAGTTCAGTATTACGTAATTGGTGTGAAAATAATTTATTTCCTTGTAAAGGTAAACTTCAGCATCATGTCAGCATGGTGTGTACTTTGTAATTGTAATTAATTACCTACTGATTCATCACAGGTTATTCAGCAGGCCTTGCATCGTCCTCCTAGCTCAGCTGCTCAGTACCTCCAGCAGATGTATGCAGCCCAACAGCAGCATCTAATGCTGCAGACTGCTGCTTTGCAGCAGCAGCACTTAAGCAGTACCCAATTTCAGAGTCTGGCAACTGTACCACAGGTGAGAGCGAAGATTGCTGAAAAAGAATGGTGTACTACTCTCTAGAGCAGGACTACAGTTCTAGAGCATTGTCAAACGTAATAACAGCTTAAGTGCCTGAGCTTAACGCCTCACAATAATTCACTGTTACATTTTAATGACTTTGTTATTTTAAATTGTATCTTCCTCCAAACTATTTGGAGGGTTTTGTCCAGTGTTATAGATGCTCCAGTAGGCGACCATTCCATGCTTTATTGCATACATTATAATGCATCATGTAAATCATCAAACAGTAGTAACATAACTATTAAAAATAGACTACTTCAATCTTCATCCCATGATTTTCTCTAAAAATTGTTGGGGAAAGCAATGAATCTTAGTGAAATCAAATATCAATGAACGTCTGGTATCTGAGTGTGTTTTGTCACACATCTGGCTGCATTGTAAGTAATGGCAAAATTCAATTTTAACTCTGAGTGTGGAAATGTAGGAAGTAAATGACATTCCATTTCTGAAGCACAGCTTTTAACATCAGTGAACACTGGAGGAGACCCATTTTGAAAACTCAAGCAGTGGGACGATTTTCTTTGACCTCAATTGACCTTGGATTGAGAATGCTATCTTGCAGAGATAGGTGGCTGTTAATGCTTTTACACATGGAAATGATAAAACAGAGTTAAAGTCTTCAGGAATATAGCTGTTTGTTGTCAGAACTGGGACTGACTCTTCTATGCTCCTGGCTTTTCCTTCTGTACCTTTTCCATTAGATTGTGGTAATATATTGATTTGTCATTTTTTCGTGACTGATTTGTGTGTGCATACACAGTTACCGAGACAGAGCAAAGAAAATCAGATTGGGGAAGGCTAAGGATTTTTTTGTATGCAGTCTTCTAAATTCTACAGAATTCTAAATCACTGTCCCTGTATTCATCCAAAGGGCTGGAATAGTGTGCTGTTACAGACACTAGATGGGCATACGTAAATTATCATTCTAGAATATGAGGGTGTTCTTTACAGCATTTATAAAGTTTGTTTTATTTTTAGAGGATTCTAATAATAATAAAAATTCTGATGTGAGTTTTAATAATGACAGTTTTTAATGATGTCACATTTAAAGTTCTGGGCACCATAGGTAGTGAGCTGATCACTTAGCTCCATCCTTAACAGTTTGATAGACTTGACCGCTGATAGTTTTTGTTCAAGTCTTGATCTGCAAGAATCCGAGTGCCTGAAATTGGGCAGGGATCCAAGGCATTTAGCACCTTGCAGATAGCATTCCGTAGCACAGAGTGCACTTTGCTGAAAACTAATTCCACCGAGTAAAGCATTTTTACTGGTAACTCAGAGAAAAGGTAATGGTAGAGAGGGATGTTTCTGATGGTTTATGCAATAATATGAACATCACTTAAACACTTTTTGATTTCAATATTTGACACATATTCTTGCTATTTAGGCAAGCCTGTCAGGTGGGAGGCAATGTACTTCCCCCACTGGGAGTGTCACTCAGCAGTCAAGCATGTCGCAGACCTCGGTACGTAACTGAACAAAGCCCTCCATCCATTCTCAACCCCTCTTGGTTATTATATAACTACTTGGAAAAACAGAAAAGATTTTAGTATTTAAATTTGTGTGGTTAAAATCAGTATTACAGAAACAGTAAATAGAAGTATAACGACTCTGTAGTAAGTGTTGGCTGTGCTTCCAGCATCCGCCAGTCATACTGGTGCGTGCTACCAGCTTCCCTGGTCCCAGCCCACTCTTGGTGCTCTGAGGGGCAGCTGCTCACTCCATGAGCACTGGGGACTGTTCAGACCTCTGCAGGAGTCACTCCCTGAGCTTTCATCTCTTATGTGATTTCTTACTGGGTTTTTCACATTAGTTTCTTTATTCAGGGCACTACTGTAGGTTAAAATCATAACTGTGTGTCAATGATTAAAGAGCACCAAATCTAAAGAATCCAGGTCAATTCTCACATATATATGAAATTGATTAAATGCTATAGCATTCATTCTTTTATTGATTATCATTTTTTATCATGCATCTTTTATGTACTTTTGATTACTTTGTCTGTATTCTAGGCATGTGCTCAGGTTTCAGTTATTAGCAGCTCTGTGTTCGGTTCATGCTGTATTTCTTTAAGCGGCACCTTCAGACATGTAATATGTATGATTCTACAGTTGTCTTGAGTAGGACTTTGTTAGTCCTACCAACATCCTGCTTTTTAATCATGCCCTCAGGCTGTTCATGACTTCAGCGCATAGCTTCAGTGATTTTAACTGTATATTTTTTTAAGCTCTCATAGCATTGCTTTGGCTTATGGTTGTTAGAAGTAACATCATTCATTCATTAAATTTAGGAGGGAAAGTCTTTAAAGATGTCTGATGTTAAACTAACATAATAATTGGGCTGGGATTTTTCAAGGAAATCTTTTGAGTAAGTGATGAAAAAGAGCTGGGCACTTAACTCTGTTAGACTGGTTAGGAAAAAAAAAAAGGAAAAAACCAAACCAAAACAAAACCACAACAGCTTTTGTTTGAGAAGATGCTAGAGAGCAATTGTTCAGGAGCGTTTAATATGAAATTCTAGAAAGTTTTAGTTTCCAGCCATTTTTAAATGTGCATATACAGAATGAGGAATCAAAGTCCATATATGGCAGCACAAACCGGTGTCCTGCTCAGGCTGCATAACAAGCATAACAGAAAATACCGGTCCAGTCGATAATATAAGCATTTAAAGATGCTTAAATATTAAAATTCAGGTGTTTTTCATAAAAATATTGCAAGCTCATGCTACATATTCTGTAAATGTATATTTCTGAGGTATATTTTTCAGACTTCATAATGTAATTGCTTATACTCGTAACTAATTATTATTATTTACTGCTAAACAGTTGCTTGCAGTTTAGGAATGAAAATGCACAATCTTGCCAGAATCCAGTTTTGTGATGATTGGCTCAATATATTTTTGATATCTTTACAGTTCAGAGATTTCAACTGCCCCTGCCATTTTTATCAAAGGCTTTCTGGCTTTAGACTCTAGGATGAATGAATTTCCATGACAGAAGCAATATTTTTGTTTCCTTAGATTAACCTCTCCACCTCTCCTACACCTGCACAGATAATAAGCCGCTCACAGACCTCCAACACCACCAGCAGCAGTATTACCCAACAGACTATGTTGCTGGGGAGCACCTCTCCAACCCTGAGTGCAAGCCAGGCTCAAATGTATCTACGAGCTCAAATGGTAAGTTTTGGTTACATTTCTTAAGCTTGGTTTTGGTCCCTCCTTGCCATCTCCACCCGCACACACCTTAACAGTTCCCGTTTTTCTTTTGTTTCTATAAATTATTTATAAATATTTTTATTTAGTTTCCGTTAGCATTGAGAATTTAGTCACTAATTTGTGAATACATATCTTCTGAAACGCTGTAGACATCAGAAGAAAAAGAATTGCTGTTGCTTAGTTCTCTGGTGAAGGTTGCTCAAGCATTTTCAGCCTGGTCGTACTACAGTTATTAAATTGATCAAACATGGAAAAAATGGAAAAAGAGCACCTGTGTTTTCTGGCTATGTAGAAGGCAATACTGGAGTCTGTCTATATTCAAGGTAGATTGTTTTCTAATGCACTGCTAACATTCAGAGTTTAGACTCTTGATTAACATTTTCTTCTATTTAACCAAGATTGTTCTTCGCGTTATTGTCTCTGGAATTCAAGTTAGATATATAGCTTTCATTCTCTTTGGATTCACATGAAACTCATTAGATTCTTGCAATTTCCTGTCAATATGGCATTTCCATTTCCTAATGGGCAGCTTTGAAAAATCTGTTTAGTGATTTGGGGTTTTTTAATACTTCCTCTAATGAGTTTCATATGAATTTACAATCTGCTTGGGATTTCATAGAAATTACAGAAGTTGTACATGAATGCTCAGGTACCAGTCAGCATTTGGTAAAGGCCAAAGACACTGTTACAGCCTGTGTGAGTTGGTGACCAAAGCTTTCTAGAGTGTTATGTTCAACTCTATGAAAACAGGAAGAACCACTGTTATGCTACGCTGAGATTCAGAGCCAGAGGTGCATGGCTGCAGTGGTATACAAAATCAGATGCAGGCATGAGTTCTTGCAGGAATTCCACCTGTGAAGTATGTTTGGGTAAAGTAATCCTTTGTTCTTTTTCCGAGATTTTTTCCTTAGGCATGCGCAGCAACGCTGTTAAGCTTTGTTGAGTTTTCTCTGGCTATTGATTGCCTACATGTTAATTGAAAAAGTAGTGTGACTTGAGTATAAGGACTTGAAGATCAAACACCTGTTTATCCATTTGCCAGTGAAAGGATTTCTGGAGTCTCTGGTTTGTAAGCAAAGCTAGACACTGAACACACCTAGTACTATTTAATAGAACAGGAATTACGAATTCATTTCACGTCACTGCCTTTCAATGTGCGTTAACAAGTTAGTAGCTGAAGTAGTATGAGGGTGACATTGCCGGGTTTTGTAGTAGCAATCTCTCTCAATGACATGGATTTTTGATGACCCTATTCATTTACACTGATTTTTCATCCAGACTCTCAATGTCAAATCCCAGGCTTATTTGAGCAATTGCTTTACACCCCACTTTCAAGATAGAAACTTACCCTATTAGTTTCTGTTTAGAATGCTATTGCAAGACCATTTTGCTAGCCTCAGCAGTTTGAACATCATACCTGTCTTTGAGTGTTTCTAGCTAACATACTGAAAGTCATGTATTTCTCTTCATCACTGAGACCTTTCATTTTCTGTAAAAAGATCAACTCTTATCTCTAGCTAGCTCATAATAACAGCTTTATCTGGAATTGAATTGAGCTGGTAATGAAAACCTTCATGTTTTCTTCTTAGCTGCTCCTTGCAGTTGCGATCTCTGTAAAAATATGGAAGACTAACTAATGGTCTCTCTTCAAAGCCTTCCATAAAGCTTGTCTTTGCTATATTGCCTATAAAGAAATTAATGATAGTTAGGTACGCTGGTATTCTGCAGTTACTCGTTTCGGCTTGGTTGTATGATACCTGTTCTCACTATGAAACTTCACTGGCATAGTTAAAGTTCATGTAATGGCTCAACATAGTTAAAGTTCTCGTAACAAGCTTGTTAAATAACAGTTTGACAGATTGGAAGACCTAAGTTCTTGTTCCTTAGTATAGTAGATATTGGACTGTTCTCTTGACCTTTTTTTGCCTTTGTTTCACTCATTTGTAATAGTGGAGGGAAAGTACTCTTTAAAATGCTTGTATGAAAGATGATGGGGTGTGTATATATGAGAGAGATTTTTCTTAATATGTAGGACAAATATTTTACATTATTATATTTGGTTTACAGTATTATCTTTTAGTTTTATTTACTTAAACTACGATAATAAATTGTTCTTTGAATAAGTTCATCTAAAAGTAAAAAAATAAACCTTAGAAACTGTACATCACTGCATGTAAGTTATATATGTCTCTTTAAAATATTACATTTCTTTCACATGTTTTCAAAGTTTCAGTCTGTTACCAGATATTTTTTCTTGCTTTACAGCTTATTTTTACTCCTGCAACCACTGTGGCTGCTGTCCAGTCTGACATTCCTGTTGTCTCATCATCTTCCTCATCTTCCTGTCAGTCTGCAGCTACTCAGGTGAGCTTGTGTAAATTTGTTAAAGGTATGTCCAATAGAGTGGACCAAAACTGAAAAGTAAAGAAACTTTGTGCTTAAGTTTGCTTGCTTATAAAAACTACTATTGGGTACTGGTTATGTACAACTCCAGTGTCTTCTGTTTGCCATCATCGCACATATAGAGGTGATCATGTTATATGTAAATTTCGGATCATGGATATGACATTTTAGGTCTTTGTAGTTAGCTCTCACCTTTATTACCTTGAATAACTTCATGTTATCAGCTGAACTTGCATCACCTTTTCACTGGTCAACAGATTTATGTATCACCTGGAAAAAAAATACGGCCTAGCACAGTTCACTACAGAACATATTAGTCACAGTCTTGTGCTATGGAAGCAAACATTTATCTAACAAATTTACGCTCTCGTGAGAGATATTCTCTTCTATCTCAGCAGTTTCTTTAAAAGCCTTTGATAAATGGACCTAGTTTAGAAACCTTTTAGAAATCCAAGTAAATTATATCAGTTGAATGTTCTCTGACCTTACGTTTGTTGACCTCTTCAGAAGATTCTAATAGATTTGAAGACCTCAGACCTGTGTCACTGTTCTGAGATAATGGCAGATCATTGAATCTTGCCTTCCCTTTGCTTTTTCAGTAGGTATCTGAGGCGAGCAGAGCTTGCTTGAATCCAACTGTGTATTTACGAGGGATGACATTGAGCAAGCTCCCAGTGTTAAGTTCATCAGCTGAGCCTTCGTTTGAAAAGACAGACTTCTCCTTCAGTCTTGGAGTTACCATGCCTCATAAGCCTTTATCACAACTGCTTCTCTTTCCTCCAGATTCTGCAGATCAAGTTTGAAAGTGCAGGCAGTTTACTGGACGGGCTAGCAGCTCTTTCTGCATTTGTATCTTTGTCTTCAAGGTAGCGATGTCAATAAAGCGTATCCCTTTACAGTCTTGGTCCTTCTGAACCGCAGGGTTTTAGAGGCCTGCTTTGCACAAGTCTGCCCGGCTGTGCAGCTTCCTGCAACATCATTGCAGAGGGACAACAGAATCTCACCCCAGGCTGCAGAGCATTATTCAGTCAGATGAGCTGCTCTGGTGACTATGCCAAACTCAAGCCGTCCTCTCCCCTCTCAGTGCTCAGTACTGCCCTTTTGCCAGATGTTAACCTTGGCCGTCTGGTAGTTTCTATAGCAGCAGTGACATTGCAAAGATCCAGTTTCATCCGTAGTCAGTGAGGCAATGGAAAAGTTTTAACACTGGTTCACTTTATTTTTCTTACCTTGTGATAAATACATCCTTAGGGTTTCAGTCAGCCTGATTTAGAGGAATGTCTTTGTTTACCTTGTAAGCAAACCTGAGCAAGTAGGCGATGCCAGTCAATAAGAAAAAAAATCCATTTGGTTATATATGTAAATGTGTATGTTACACTTAGCTAAGATGTTTTTGAAGGTACAGTGTAGTGATCTCACAGTATCATCTTCCACGTAGAAATATCAGAGAAACTCAGAAGTTCATTAGTGATTAGCGGTGTCTCAACAGCACAGCTAACGTGGCCTCTTAGGTGAACTGACACTTCTCTCTTACTTACTCTTCTTCCCTTCTGTTTTCATACTTTTTTCTTTGCATATGTGTCCCCCTTGTGCATGATCTGAACATCTCAGATTAGTTACCTTATCTGTTAAGGTGTGCTGAAGGTTGATTTTACTCGCAGAGATACAATTGCAGTAAATGTCTTGTGCATGCCAATAAGGAAAAAAGTACTGTTGTCTTCAGAACAGGATTTGGATGCATCCTGTGGTAACACACTGAACAGTGAGAAGTAAAATGTCAACTAGCTGTTCGTTACACAAGTACTAACTGTTAAATGAGGAAGGGATTATGTGACCAAAACAGTGGATGGTGATAATAATTAGTCCTCTTTCTCATGTAAAGTATGATGTGGATTAGTGCTACAAGGGTAGTCTTTGTCCTTGAAAATAAAATTCTAGCTCAGCACGTAGGATTGGAAAGCTGGGATCATTCTGCACAGAATCTTGCTGTGGTATAACAGACATTAGTGAACATAATCACTGACTGATTTACATTTCAGAAGGCAAACCTTTTGTTTCATGTGACATTGGAGGTATCATGATGAAAAGGTGCATTAATACTGCTGTAGAAATAAAGGGCTCAGGTTTGTTAAGACCTGGATACCATACAGCGGATTCTGGTCCCATTGACTACCCAAGGCTCTGGTTTATGTTAGTCTCTGCAAACACACTTACAGACCACTGCACTTCTACAGCATCTCTATAAAAATAAAATTGCATGTGGTTAAGATGCTTTGTGTCATTCACTTTGAAGGCACAATAGAAGAGGAAAAAATACAAGTTTTATTTCAAATTAATGTAATGAACAATTTCTGTTTCTTTCAAAAGTTCAATAACAAAAACTACTCACGTATTTTGATTGCATGGGATGAGGTAACAAAAAAGACTTTCTTGTGTTTTCTTTATCACTGAAGTAAGTCAAGATCACTATTCTCTACATTTTGTGGCTTAAAAGATCCTTTGATATGCAGATTTTAAACTACTCACGTATTTTGATTGCATGGGATGAGAAGCATTACATAACATTATTTTTTTACTATTTTTGCCTGGATGTTTGTCACGGATGTTTGTCGTAGATGTTTATATGTTTGGGGTTTTTTCATGTTTTGCTCGTTTCCCAGGTTCAAAACTTGACATTGCGCAGTCAGAAGTTGGGTGTATTGTCAAGTTCACAGAATGGCCCACCAAAGAGCAGCAGTCAAACTCAGTCATTGTCTCTGTGCCCTAATAAATCTGCAACCAGTTCCAAGGGGAGCCAACCAGATCCCTCAGAAAGCAATAGAAAGGGTGAGAGCCCAACTCCAGAGTGTCGGAGTACACCAGTCACACGGACATCAAGCATACATCATTTAATAACACCAGGTAGGATGCAAATGGAGCTATAAGAAAGCTCCATTATTTATTTTAATTAAAATTAGTTTTTATGTTATGGTTCTGTCAGTCCGATGCTCTCTGACCGTCTTCTTTTAGGTATTCCACATGAATAGAGTTTGATTATTAATACTAAATTTACTTACTTGTTGATATTGGATGTTACACAGGATTTTGATTTAGCAGAGTGACACAGCACTATTATTAAATCACAATGCAAACACAATATAGCAATTGCAATGCACAGTTGAATCACGGTACAAACATGATTCTCATTACTGGTCTCTCTGTGTGCTCATTGTCAGGACATGTCCCCAATCTCTGGGAGGCAATACATGGGCTGAAACCACCTCAAGCCTCTTGCTATCATCAAAATCTATTTTGGTGGTGTTTGGGGTTTTTTTTTGCTGTCTTGTCTGTGTCATCAGAGTGTTCTTCTATCAAGTACTTTTATAAATCCATAGGTAGTAGTGCCCCAGAATCTTAGTATTTTGTATTAAGAGATAATTCAATATAAGCATGCAGTTGGTTAGATAGCATTTACATTGCATGCAGTGTATTTGCATTTTAGCTTCCTTACTTTGAAAGAGTAAGGGTAGTTTAGACAATTGGTCTGAATTCTGTGGAATTCAGCTTGGCTTAATAGCAGCTTTCAGAGAAGGAGTAAGACTGCAAGGCAGGCATTCTTGAGGTATTGAGCCTTGATGCTCTTAGAACTCACTCCTGTAAGGAAAAAAATCCATCTTCACTAGCAGAATAAATAATAAAAAAGACAACATAAATTAGTTGTTTCCCAAGTGGAAAAGACGAAGCAAGAAGAGGCTTGCATGCAGACGGACATGCGTGTGCCGTAAGGAATTACTAGTGAGTCATTGGTTCACTTAAAGGAGACGCGATATCTCTGGAAGCTGCACTATTTCTAGATTCATACCTTGCAGTTTGTGTGTTCAAGTTCAGGCAAATACTTTGAAAGGTTTTAATTCGTACTGAACTCTTAGAATTTTATTTAGTCTCTTAAAATCATATTACCTAAAGTTTACCTTAGCGGTAATCAACAAATCCTGTTGATTGTGCCATGCTTATCTCTTCCATTCTAGTCTGTTTCAAAGCAAAGGTTAAATCCATTTAAAGTTGCATGAAATTCTTAAATAAGTGAAGGCTGGATTAGCATTAATCTTAGAACTAGCACCAAAAAGATAAGCTTGGATACTTTTATAGAGAAAGTACACATATGTGTGTGTATATATATATATATGTAAAAAGCATGGCTGTGTTCCTTTATTAATTGCTGTATTTTGCTTTGGAAATTGATATATTCCCCTGATAAATTGTTCTTGTGTACTATACGCTGTCAAAGAAGACATGCCTAAACATAGATCCAAAGGGTTGAAAAAGTTGTGCTAGTCTTACTTGAAAGTAAAAATTTCCTTTCTTTTAATATTTTTATAATGTTCTCTGGACTTAAACAAATAAATACTAATTGTCACTTTTTTCCCCCCCTTACAGCTTCATATTCTCCATTGCAACCTCATTCTCTAGTAAAACATCAGCAGATCCCACTTCATTCACCACCTCCAAAGATTTCCCATCATCAGCTGATACTGCAACAGCAGCAGCAAGTCCAGCCAATTGCACTTCAGACTCCTTCGGGTCAGGAACCCCCTCCATCACAGCACTGTCTACCACTCCCAAGCCACGGTCTTCCTCCAGGTCCCAGCAGTGTCCAGTCTCATTGTTCACCTATTCACATCCATCCTCCACCTCTAACACTATCTCCTACTCCATCCCAGTCAGCTCAGCAGTCAGTAGTGGTATCCCCTCCACCTTCTCACTCCCCTAGTCAATCACCCACCATAATTATTCACCCTCAAGCACTTATTCAGTCACAGGCAAACTCCCTCGTGCCAACAGCTCTTCAGCCTGAGCAGCCTGCTTCTCAGCAAACTGCTACCAATCCAGTTCGACCAATTGCACAGCCGCTTAATCTTCCGTCGCATCTTCCTCTTCCATCTTCCCCCGCTGTACACATAGGGTCAGTAGATCAGCCCAGCTTAGTTTCCCCAGGCCAACAGATCGTGTCCTCGACACCACACCAGCAATACTCAGCCTTGCAGTCCGCACCTATCCCTCTTGCAGCTCCTCCTCAGCTGTCAACATCTTCAACCCAGATTCAGCAACTGCCTTTGCAGTCTGTGCAGTCTTTACAAGTGCAGCCTGAAATTCTGTCCCAGGGCCAGGTTTTAGTTCAAAACACTTTGGTTTCTGAGGAAGAACTTCCTGCTGCAGAAGCTTTGGTCCAGCTGCCATTTCAAACTCTTCCACCACCACAGACTGTCGCAGTAAATCTTCAGGTGCAGCCATCAGTACCAATTGAAACTCCAGTGGTAAGCAGTAATATGCAGTCCTTTATTCTTTATCCTCAGCTTCTCTGAAGAGCTGTAAATCTGGCCCATTGACTAACGAGGGAGCTAAACCAGGTGCTAGACAGAGGACCAGGGATCAGAAGCCTATTGATTACAGAAATGAGTTTCAAGAAAACAGTAGAAATTTTCCTCTGACTTTTTTGGCTTTTTGTAATGGATCCTCAGTCAGGAATATTAACCAAGAATCATAAAAGTGTAATTTTTTGACCTAAAATCTTCTCTCTTGATGAAATTGCAGCATATCTAAGGTTTAAAAAAGCAAGTATATATATGGCAATGCTTACACCAAAACTAATTTTAATAAATAGACTGTATGGACTGTAAGCTTTTACCTCTCTGTGTTAATACAAATACAGGGAATCAAAATTTTGAGTAGGAGAATAATCTCTATAATAGGTGCGAAGGTGTAGAGTTCTGGATAATTAATTTTGTACTAACATTGGAAAGATCCTCAGCCCAAGAAGGACATGGAACTGTTGGAGCACCTCTCTTATGAGGCCAGGCTGGGAGAGCTGGGGGTGTTCAGCCTGGGGAAGAGAAGGCTGCGGGCAGAGCTGAGTGCGGCCGGTCAGGGCTTAAAGGGGGCCCAGAGGAAAGGGGGGGACAAGCTTTTTAGTAGGGCCAGCTGGGACAGGACAAAGGGGGATGGCTTTAAACTGAAGCAGGGTAGGTTTAGACTGGATCTAAGGAAGAAATTCTTTACACTGAGGGTGGTGAAACCCTGGCAGGGGTTGCCCCGAGAGGGGGTGGAGGCCCCATCCCTGGGAACATTCCAGGCCAGGTTGGCTGGGGCTGTGAGCAACCTGGTGTGGTTCAAGGTGTCCCTGCTCCTGCAGGGGGGTTGGGCTGGGTGGCCTCTGGGGGTCCCTTCCAACCTAAAACATTCTACGATTCTATGAAAGAATAGGGCAATTTTTGATGCTGTCTTGGTGTTTCCCATCACTGCCATTTAATTTAGTTCAATGTTAGTCTTGGACGTCTGCAGTTTGTAACTGGAAGTTTCAGCTTCACTCACACTGAACTAAAGTCATGTACAGTGAAATAAAATGATATGCAAATAATGCTGACATTTAAGATGGCGTTGCTAGGCTTTAGTGGTAACATGCTAATGAGATTAACGCAACCAAAAGAATAAACAGCCCTTGTAGGCTTTTTTCAGGCTACCAGTGGGTTAAGGAAGACGGTATGCTGTTTATTTTTAATTTATATTTAGAGGGTAATGATAATCTCAACTCTGATATTTCATGTAGAAATTGGGCAGTAGTAGAAGCCATGTTTGCTTTTGACAAGGTGGTGTTTTACATCCTAATCTGCTAAACTGGCTGTCAGTAATCCACATAAATTTAATAGTCTTGAGGAAAATACCTTACAGTATCGCATAACCACTAATGCTTGATAGTCTTGGTGTGGTCTTCTGCGGTACTCCGTTTGATTACATGGCTGTATAAGAGAACAATTTGCAGGCTTGTCATTATATTATAAAGCTTGCATTTTGCAAAAGTGTTTGAACAGCTACAAACGTGTGTGTAAATAAAAAATACAGTAAATTATAAAGACATTGAAAAAGTCAAGTTTTCTGCTGTGTTTGATAGAACTGTGCCTCTTTATATTTTGCTGTTTGTAACAAAGTAATTTTGCTCTCATAGGCACTGTGATGTCCCCAGAGTTCATTGTTTTATATGCAGTTTGGAAACTAGTATTTTATTAGTAGATTAGCATATTTTAACATTTTAACTGGTAATTTATTTTAAAAACTGTATTTATGCAACTCTTTTAAGGTATTAAGATAGAATGGAAATCTCTCTAAAGCAATAGTTTGTTGGATGCAGATTTACCAAGTGGAGAATGTGTGTGAAGAAGAGATGCCTGAGGAATCGGATTGTGTCCATATGGCTAAAAAACCCACCCCCCCTAACCTTGGGGAACGGAGAGGCACTTAATTCAGAAGATCCTTTGTCAGGTGAGAACCAAGGTCAAACTGAGGTAGCTGTTCTGCTTAGAAACGTCTACTGGTTACTGAAGTCTTAAGATAAAAATCTATGATTCCAATCTTTTTTATATAATTTAGTGGTATCATTTTTTAAGTAAAAGAAACTATATGAGGTTTATTAGAAATCCATGCGATAGAACAAATGGTTCAATCCCAGAGGTGTATCTTATATATGTATTTGGATGACATGTAGCACGGAAAACGCTTATTTGAGCTCTTCAGCACATACTTTTCTACTAAAGTCTTAACAGGAGTGTCAATCCGCAGTTAATCTTTAAGTGATAGCTGTGTGATATGGGCAAAACATGCTGACCAATCTCGTGTGGAGATTGATTTTGCAGAATCAGGGTCAGCAATCAGAAGTTGCTGTCGGAATGGTTGACTACGCTGTGTGATTCTTTTTGGCACCTTTTTTTTATATGCCACAGTAAGGAGCTGTTCTAATGCTACCAATGAAAATTTTTCTTGTTCAGTGAATTGTAAGATACACATGCCTGTATCAGGTGTTGTCTTGCAAACTAATGTAACTTCCCCAATGTGCTTAATTTACAAATATATACTCTCTCTATGTATAGTATAGTGCGCATATATTTATGCTATACATATAACTGTGTGCTTAGTGGTGCTTAGTGGCTTGATGTTGTATATGCTTGTGACCCTGCAGGTTACTGCGGCTCAAAACATCCCTGAAAATAAATTCTCTCCTTAGAAATACCTCAGCTGCTCAGTCTTGGGAATCCAATGTTTGAAAATACTGGTTTCTGCTTTTGACTTACAGATTTGTCATTTGTGTAGGTAATTAATGGCCAACTATGCTTATAGTTACTAGGTAGTGAGTAAAGAAAAACATTTACATGAGAACTGTTTGTTTGTGGAATAGCCCGTCAAGGAAAACAGTCTTGTTTTGAAGGCAAAATCTATGAACCGTGGGGAAAATCCTGTGTTACAGGATGGTGGGTGCAGAGATGGGTGTACCTATCACCTCTTATTTGTAGAATTCTGAGCCAACGGCTGAACATAAGTGATAAAAACGTAACGTATTCTCTTATTTGTTTCAGAACATGGGGGACTACCTTCAGTGACATCATCAGTCAGTGCCTCAGTAATTAAATCTCCATCTGATCCGTCACATGCCTCTATTCCACCACCACCTCTTTTGCTTCCAGCAGCAACAACAAGGAGCAACAGCACATCAATGCCCAATAGCATTCCTAGCCTAGAAAATAAACCTCCACAGGCTATTGTTAAACCCCAGATACTGACCCATGTTATTGAAGGCTTTGTGATTCAGGAGGGGTTAGAGCCGTTCCCTGTGAGTACCAAAGTTGCTATGAATTTTTTACTACTAATTTTTTGGAACAAACTGTTTTTAAGGATTGTGTTATTTGTGGCTAGTAGCTATTCTGATCTTGAATTATTTTTTCAAATGTTGATTTTGACCTTCCACTGATTGGTAACCTGTTTCTTACAGCGTTCAGTATGCTTGTATACTGTTTGTATTGTCTTACGTGTATAAATTCGAATTCATGCTACTTGTTTGGCTTACCAGTATCACTGGATGACAAGGTACTAAATTAAAACAGAGACACAACTGAGTAGAGAGGCTGTATCCAGAGATAAGCACAGAGAGTGATTTTAGGCTACCATTTGCAATAACTGTTTTATGTTTGTCTGCCTCCTAGATACCTCAATTTAAGTGATACCTTAATTTAAACCTCTGAGATGAGTCTGTGTTAGTATTTTAAACTGTTAAAATTTTGTGTTTTAAACAAGCCCCTTACTAAGCTTGGTGTGATTAGTACTGTGTCTGGTAAGAACTACTGTTGAAAATTTGAAATCCACGAATGGACAGTTTAAAATCTACAAGCCTGCCTTATTAACTAATTTAACGTGTCTTTCACTTTCCCATTCCTTCATTTCTCTAGATAGAATGTGTTTCTTCCTTTGTTAAATGTAACTGCAAAGTCTGCAGAGGCAGAGTGAGTCTTTGTATTTGTTTGAGAAATGGTGTTTAGAGCTTTGGCACTATATAATAATGATTCATTGATACAGAATAGTGATTCTAGTCTCAGTTACAACTGCTAAATCGCAAAAACTATTTTCAATTATTCATTGCTCGGTTAATCACTGTTGCTTTGCTTTTATTACAATAGGTAAGTCGTTCATCTCTGCTGGTAGAACAGCCTGCAGAAAAAAGATTGCTAGTGGAGGGTCAAATCATGAGTGTTGTGTGTGTTGAATCAGACTTGCAGAATACAAAACATGCAGACAACTCATCGGACACAGAGATAGAGGATATGATTGCAGAAGGTTTGTAGCTTTTGTTTAAATATCCTTTTTTTTCCCCTTCAGTTCTGTATGTGTTGCAGAATCCCATCCCATCTGTACTTCTGGAATCTTTCTCCAGTCTTTACGCTATCTCAAATAGAAACTACTTTCAAATGTTTTTTACTAGCTACACATCAAAACAGCAGTTGCTGTAGATGCACACAAATGTCAGGAAACTATACACTTGTCCTGCTTAGAATACAGTGGTCTCCAGCACAACTCATGAGCTAAACTGAATTCCCCGTGCAGTACCTGACATCATTATCATCGTGGATTTTTTAGAACTTGGCAATCAACTATTCTGGATCTGTTACACCACTATTACTGTTCAAGCCCCAATGTAGGTAGCTTCATGAGTGTTATGAAATGGAAATTAAACCATGGCCTGGCCCAGAAGCCAAGTTATTCTTTAACTGACATCTTTGTGTAAATTCATCCAAGATTTGAAAGTCCAGAATTTTTCAGCCACCTCTGGATTTTCTCTTCCACAGCTTGAGCAATTGCACAGGAGCTGGTTTTGGTGATCTGTTTAAATTTGTCCTAATGCAAGTCTTAGTTTCATTCTCTTAAAATAGTTCTTTTCCCTCTCTCATATCAAGACTGTAGTGAGCAGGGTAAGAAGGGACAAATACAGTGCCTGCTAGTGCTACAGGACTGTGTCGGGGATGGGGCTGGAAAAAAGTCAGGACAGTGTGTCCTGAGCAAGTGTCACTGTAGCTGTGCTTCAACTGCTTCCCACTCCAGGTGTCGTAAATTGTCACTTAATTAAAACAGTCCACCCCCCTGCTCCTTTCTCACAGGAACTTTCAAGATGGCAACAGCAGTGGCAGTTCATTAGTTACTGTGGTTTCTGCCTTGGTGAAAGCTACTGAAGTGCAATAGGGAAGTTGGCTGCATCCATGGTGTGTCTTGGCAAACAAATTAGCTCAAAATTCAGTCTTTTAGATTATTAGATTCTGATACATGATTTTTTACCACATTGATTTATATCTGTTATTGTTTACAAGTGCATTGGGTCAGACCCAAGTCCAGGATAGCAGACAAGGTAAAAAGCTTGCTTTAGGAAGCATTCTGAATTCAAAGAGTATTTGCTGGTAGTGAAGTCAAGTAAACATGGTTGGAATTTTTGCTTAAGGCTGATTTACTTAACCGCTCAGGCAATATATATCTCTCTTTAAAATTGAAAGTATATTTTCACTTGTAGCACTGGTTTTCAGTAGGAGCTTGGTTTAGCTTGGAAGCACGTCACTGAAAGGAAATATTGATGGGTTGCAGGCCTCCTACATGTTGATATACCATCTGTGCAAAGAAGTCAGAAGCTGTGGAAACAGTGCCTGAAAATGAAACCTATAACAGAATTTCCTAAATTATGGCTGATAATATGATTGCATTTACTAGTGTACCTCAGTATGGTCCAGAGCCCTTCTTCATTTTGCAGTAACAGCCTAGTTTAGGCAGTGGCAGATATTTGAAGTGCTTTGCTTTGTAACTGTAACTTTCCTTTGATTATGTTATAATTAAGTTGTCTACATAGAAGAATGAAGAAAGGATTTTTACAGGGTCCATTTTTAAAATATATTGCACAATATTCTACTGTAAAATAATTCAAGGCCCATACCTTATTCTTCAGAAACATTCACATAGGTATACCAGACTAAATTTTACAAGGCAAGCATCTAGCGTATTAACAGTGGAGGGTTGCAGTGTGACTGGAAGTTTTCTAAACCTTTGTTTCATTTAATATAAAATTGCTGTTATTTTTTTGGTATCATCTCCCAGTGAAGGCTTCCATTTAACCAGTTCTTTGAGAGGGAAGTCCAGTGATGTGAAAGCATCAAGCACAAGAGGCTTTTTTTTAAAAAGTCATCTGGTAAATTGTATGATTTGTTTGAGATTTTTTGGTTCTTTTACAGCTCAGTGGAGTTATCCTACTCTTCTACTCAAAAATGAGATTTGTAAATCTCATAGCTCATGACTCTGCTTAGTAAATTGCTCTTAAATAAGCTTGTTTTCTTGATCAAGAGTACAGCTTCTTTTGCAATACCTTGTTTCACCAAATGTGTTTCAAACAAAAGAAACGTTGCCATCTGCTGTATCTTCTAGAGTATTTGACGCTCTGTTTACGATAGTTATTTTGCCCTTGGTTTGTTACGGTAGATTGTAATTAGTTTTCAGTAGCATTCCCTAAGAACTTTTCAGTATTAACACTATGTTATTTCTCAGATTTCAAACAGCTGCTCTGTTGTTTTGTGGAATTATTCAAACCTTCATGGTTTTGTTTTTATTTATTGTTCCTGGCAGCTGGTGTTAGGTTTGTATACACAATTTGCAACTACTCATTAGATGAGCTAGGAGGAAACATCCATCACTGAAGCACATCCACATATGCAGAAGTTGAGCAAAGGATGATTGCATGTATGGTAGAAACACCTAATATGCAAAAGAAAAGGCTCTTAGCATCAATTTTCACTTCACTCTCTTGTAATTTTTTTTTTCCACATCCATGACCTGGATTGGGAGTGAGGGTTTTGGGAGTTTTTTTAGAGAGTGTAATCCATTTGAAGGATGCATCTCTGGTATTTAACTTAGTTGCAAGGTTGGTCAGATTTGATAAGTTTCTAATTTCCAGGTTTTACTTGCTGTTTGATCACAGTTTATTAAGTTGGAGGCTTGCAACATGGTAATTTTCAGTGATGCTGCTGGGGGATTTGTTGATTTCAGTTATGTCTTTGAGTCCTGATAGGTCAGATCCCTTTTCAGTATTTTCAGCTCTTTGCTGCACTAGTGCTTTTTTGTTACCCTGTCAGTGCAATAGTTAGTGTCAGCAAGCAGTTTAGTGAGTTCACGCTGCTATGACAGACCTGCATTTGCATTAGCTGGCATCAGAGGTTAACAATGAAGTTGGAACAAAAAGCTAGTTTCCAATTTTTGCAACTAATTATGTAAAATTGTAAGTATGAACTCATACAGTGACTAGCAAGAGGCAAAGTAGATGAAACAGTAACTCCAGAGTGTTAGAAATGTGGCAGAAATGTATGTTTGTTTAGTCCTCTGAGTTTTGGAACAATGTATTTTGTCCATGATTGCAGCTCCCTGGCATTGCAGTTCTTTTACTTAAGCTGAATGAACACAAAATGTTACATTTTGTGTACATTACTGTATCAGGAATAGTGCGGCCAGCAGGAGTAGGGAAGTGATCGTGCCCCTGTACTCGGTGCTGGTGAGGCCGCACCTCGAATACTGTGTTCAGTTTTGGGCCCCTCACTACAAGAAGGATGTTGCATTGCTGGAGCATGTCCAGAGGAGAGCAACCAAGCTGGTGAGGGGTCTGGAGCACAAGTCATACGAGGAACGGCTGAGGGAACTGGGGTTGTTTAGTCTGGAGAAGAGGAGGCTGAGGGGAGACCTGATCGCCCTCTACAGCTACCTGAAAGGAGGCTGTAGGGAGGTGGGGGTCGGCCTCTTCTCCCTGGTAACAGATGATAGGACGAGGGGGAATGGTTTGAAGCTGCGCCAGGGCAGGTTTAGGTTAGATATTAGGAAAAACTTCTTCACTGAAAGGGTGGGCTGCCCAGGGAGGTGGTCGAGTCCTCATCCCTGGAGGTATTTAAAAGAAGGAGGGATGAGGTGCTTAGGGACAGGGTTTAGTGGTGGGATGGCAGGGTTAGGTTAAAGGTTGGACTCGATGATCTCAAAGGTCTTTTCCAACCAAAGTGATTCCATGATTCTGTGATTTCAGTTTGTGCCAGTTTCACCCCTTCACTCCTTATGGCGCATTTCACAGGTGGTGCATGGGCATAAGGTTTGGGGGTGTTTTCCATGCTGGAGGTCAAGCTGGTTTGCAGATATGGTGGCATTACTCTAAACTACGTACAAACCATGCTCTACACATGACGTGCTTCCAGTAGAAGAGAGCACGTGTTGTTCAGCAGAAGTTCATAGACGTTCAGCACGTGTTGTTTGTGCTGCCTTGTTGCCTTGTACCTGCCTGCTTTGGGGCTTTTCTACTTTTTCTTTCACTGATGCTCCCTCAGCTGGTGTTTGAGTTCTTCACAAGGAGCAGGAAAAGTGCCTCCTCATCTCACTAATAACAGCAAATAGTCTTTAACAGTAGGCTGTAAATCAGTAGATGCCATAATCCTTTTCTTACTTACATGCAGTGTATCTTTTTTTGTAGATAATATTCAGTGTTCTACTTGCTTTCACAAGTCCCTTTGGTTGTAGCAGTTGCTTATTCAAAGAAAGTATTTTAAAAAGTTAATGCATTATGTCATTACAGGAGAGCTTGAATTTAAACCATGGAATGCCCGGTTCTTTTAAAGAACTCTATATAAGCAGTTCACGAGGACTGTAACACTTCTTTTTAGTTGTTCGCTATGTTTGAGGGCGTACTTGCTCACGGATGGCTTGAAATTTAACAAAAAAGCTGATTAAGTTCATTGAATAACTTAATTGAAGGTTCAGTAAGGTTCAGTTTGCTCAAGATCTTTTCTGTAGAGAGCGAAATCTATGACTTGCTTAGTTTTGCTTAATTTTCTGTTAAGGTATTTAATTAATGTGATAGATATTTGAAAATCTTCTACCTGCCTCCTTGAGATGGGAAATGTGAATGTAATTTTGTGTTGAAACTGACTTCTTTATGCCTCACTCCTTTCTTTAGAGGGACTGGACGAAATTGAAAATGATCTTCTGAAGTGTGAATTTTGTGGAAAAATGGGATATTCTAATAAGTTTCTAAGGTCAAAAAGATTCTGCTCCACATCCTGTGCCAAAAGGTACTCTGCCTAGTTATTGATTATCATTATCTGATTAATGGGATAGCATGCAAATAGCATCTGATGTTGAAAAATAAAGAAACAGTAAAACATGACTGCCTTCTACCCAAATTTGCAGAGTATATGGTTACAAAAGGCTATGATAGGTTGTCTACCATCTTGAAATATAAAGGGAATTACAGTAAAATTGTAGACCTCTTCCCAGAGGGTGCCATGAATGCTGTTGGGCTTATGGGAAAGTTATGGGATATCATGGAAGAGAAATCCATTAAGGGTTACTAAGTGTTTGGAAATTGGTGCAGAGGTTCATGGGCCACAAATCGTTATATATTTTTCATATTCCTGTTGTCTTCCCCTTGATGCTGGGCAATGCTGGGCTAGGTGGGCTTTCTTACAGTTTTGTGGGATGCTAGGGGAAAAAACCCCACTGAATTTATCTTGGCATAATTGAAATGCCGCATAGACAAAAACATTCTCAAATGTTTGTAGTAACAGTGTAAAAATTCTTTATTTGCATAGGGGAAAATAGAAATATTCATAAACGTAGATAATTTAGTGTTTGCTAAAGCTTCTCCATTCTTGAAAATAATACGTGATGCCGTTTGCTTGTACGTGGTTGGCAGAGGAAAATGGCTGGTTTCTGTTTCTCGTTGAGCTTAATATGCTGCTTTTGTTTTGGTTGAGAAGGGAAGAATTCATAGTCAACATCTGAATGTAAAATCTTCCATCATTACAGCTGGAAAATTTATATTTAATCCCAGATGTTTTAGAAATCGGGACCAGTTTCCCATTTTTATCTACCACTTAGTTCTTTTTTTTGCATCAGTGTGCCTAGAGACCACCTTTCTGCTACTTTTTTAATCCCCCACCTGAGACATTTCCTTTTTAAGTGATGGGAATGTATATTTTTGATTTTGTGCCTGTTGAGACAGTACCAGCAAAATAATGTTAAGAAGGGATATTTGGCCCCTTAATGTTAAGATGGGATTTTTTGCCTTCATCCTCCTTTGACTGGGTATCAGCTAGGCAGAGCAAATGGAAGCAAAAGGTATAATGAGACTTTAGGCGTTTAATGGACGTTTTGGAGAAGCAGGATTGGAATATGTGATAAAATGCAAAGGTATTTCTATCATAGAAAAATTTTAAGAACGGGAAAGACTGACATCTTCCAGGGATGATGGAGATATATTTGATCTTGCATCAAGACAAGGGGTTTGAGTAAATGGCCTTTGAGATAACCTTTCTCTTTGATCTTTGTGATACCTGTGGCTGACTTTGATTAGGCAGCGTTTCTGTGGACAACAATGTAATTTTATTGTTACTTGATTTAATGCAGTCCCTAAAACTATGAGTGCATTACTGAACGTATCTTACTTCTTTAGGCACAGCCTTAGTTGCACTAAGAAATTTGGGCTGTTTACATCTGACAAGACCAGTCGCTGGAATCGGAAGTCAGATAGCCAAAGTCTTGGGCGACGCGGGCGTCGACCGAGTGGCCCTGATGGGGCGTCACGAGATCATTTTCTTAGACAGGTCTGTGGAATATTTGCTTAAAACTATAGCACTGCTTTGGGAATTACAAATAAAATATAATACGGTAGTGTATTTGTACTACGTTTTCCAGCTTCCAATTACTTATCCATCTGCAGAAGAAGATATGGCTTCTCATGAAGATGCTGTTCCAGCTGCCATGACCACCCGTCTGCGGAGACAGAGTGAAAGAGAGAGAGAACGTGAACTTAGGGAACTGAGAATTAGGAAGATGCCAGAGAGCATTGACTTGTTACCAGTGGTGCAAGCTGACCCATCCGTATGGACTGTGGATGAAGTTTGGGCCTTCATACATTCTTTGCCTGGTATGTGCAATAACTCATTCCATTTTTTTAACAGTAAAGCTCCTTGCTTTTTAGCACTGGTGCGATGAGGAGGTGGTGCGGTTACAGCACTAGTGTACACGTTAGCTGGCGATAGAAACTGGAATGTGATTTGTTTCCTCTTGCTTGTTCCTTCAGCACAAATCCCATGTTGATAGAGCTAGTCCCACTTCTGCTGTTGCATCCCAGCTGATGGAGATTAGAGCTGTTCCTCCCTTCAGTCTGACTTCTCTCAAGAGGTCAGTAGAGAGATCAGACACGCTTCCTCCCTTTTACATTTTTCTTCCTCTTCCCTCCTTACTTGCTGCTTATTCAGTAGAAGAAGAAAAAAGGGAGTTCTTTCCCTTTATACAAGTGAAAAATTTGAAAGACCTGTCCTGATGTAAGTCATTAAAAAAGAATAAGCGAGTTTCTTCTATAAAGTTAAACTTTGTTTTGTGTAGCTTTGCTCAGTAATGGAAATGCAGAGAACTTCTACATAGAGACTCTGCATACTGGTAGACACAGTCTGTTCTTAGAAAAAAAAAAAAATCTTGTTTCTCCTTATTTACAAACCTTTTCTTTAGCTCAATATTCACAGTTACCTTTATATCATCGTCAGGTTATTTGACATTTATTTATCATTTCCTATCTGTCATAAGCTTTAAAGTTTTACTCCCCCCCCTCTTCCTCAAGGATGCCGTTCTATCTGATCAGATACTGTAATTCTCTCAGGAAACAAGGCAGGTCTCCATAATAGCAGTCATACAAGAATTTTTGTTGCTTACCCATGTAACTCGCATGTCAAAACATTGAAACCCAGCTTAAGTTTGTTCCTAATTTTCTAGTTTAGAAATGCTAAACCATTTTTCTGTGTATCCCACATAAGGCTAATAATCTGTAAGGAATGTATCTCCATTGCTAAGTCACACATGTGGGATTTGACAGTTAATTTTTTATAAAGTCCGTCAGGCAAAGGATTGAGTGAGGGATGTCTTAAATCAGCAAAAGTCATCCCTGAAGCACCTTTCTTCTGATGGTTTATAAATTGCGATTAAGTTAACGTTATCTGCTTCTGGGAACCTGCAGTGATGTCTGTAAAAACAAGCAAAGCTCCTTAGTTTTAAGACATGGTCATTCATGTTTCTGTACTTCAGCTGCGTTCCTGGAATATGACTGTATTGCTGTTACAGATCTGAGGCTCTAGTTAATTCAATAATTGCAGGTTCTACAAAAGAATAAATGATAGTTCCTTTCCTAGAAAACTTAAAGTACCACTTAAACACAATTCACTTGTAAGTATGAGAACAAAAATATTATTCTTAAAATGTGGTATCTGTTTTGAAACCATTGCTTGTAGAATGTTTCACCAGCTGCTGGATCTGGGGGTGGGGTGTATTCTATAAAAAGGTAATCTCTGATTTTAAAAAAACTTTTTATCTTTTTCTGCATTAATGAAATTTTATTATAATGACTCATTCCCATCCGTGTTAAGGTCTGGTTTCTCAAATACTTCCTTTAAAAAAGTTCAAAAGGTATTTAAAATGATATACACAACCTGCCAGAATTCTCATTGTTACATAGCTCTATTCATATTTTTGGCAATTCTGGCGTTTACTCTGTTCAATATATTCTCAAGCCACTCTCTTGAAAAAATATTTTTTCATATGCTGACAGAGTTGCATAATACCAGAAGCAATGCAATTGACTTTCATTATGCTATTTTGCAATAGCTACTTGGTGCAGTCCATGCAGACTGTCTGCCATGTTATAGGAGATGGTGATTTGTCAGCTTTTCGTAAACGTTAGGGCCATCTGTTTTGATTTACAGCTTTCTGCATAGACTCTCTAGCTGAGATCTAACTGCAGAGTCCAGTGTCCTTGTCAGGCTTTTCCTGAATTCCTCGGGAGTCTTTTGGAGAAATGAAGGTTGTAGGACACTTCTACTGATACTTATTTCTTCTGGGGGGGAAGAGACAGCAACAGTTTAAGCCCTAGCAGAATTGTTCCTCCTTTCTTTCTTCAGCTGCAAGATTAATAGTCTTTCACCCACTTCTCATGCTTTTCTTAGCTAAATTATTGCACAACAACCAATTGCGAAAGTGCTTAAGAATACCCAAAAGTGCTTGCATGAGGGAACTGAAATACATTCAACTTCCATCCTTTGCTTTTCCAAAACAACTTGGAGAAAAGGTATTTTAGGGAGAGTTGCATGGAAATACTTCATGTCCTGCTTAAAGAAAAAAGCCTTGCAACAACAACCAATAATCTATTTTAATAGGGCAACTTTTGTTCCTAAATGGAAAAACTTCTCTCGGTCTCTCATTCTCTGTAAATGTGGTCTGACAATCGCCATGTTCAGGGCTCAAGTCAGATACACAGTGATGCCTTTCACAGAAATACTTACTTAGTACTTGACTTACAGACATTTTGTCTGTTGTCAACACATAAATAAGAGCCTTTGTGATGGTGATAGAGCTGTTAGATCCTCCTGAGAATGGTCAGTTATCTTAAGATTTTTCTTGCTCTTACTGGCAGCCTTATCTTCACTTTGTAGCTGGAACTGGCAGCACCATTCCAGGAGCTCTGTGACAGCTCTGGGCTCCTGAAGAATGTTCTCTTACCGATTGTGGTACGCTTTGTAGCTGGGCTGCGCTAGTGCATCGCTCTACCAGAAATATTAAAAGTAAAGTTACGGAATACGTGCAAGCAATAAAACATTTTAATGACTTAAGTGGCTATATAAATACTGTTTGTGACAAGCTAATTTGGTGTTGTTTTTTTTTTTTTCTCCAAAGGATACCACTCTTATTATTTCTTGTTACAATAAATAATGCCCAAGAACTGGGCATTTATCATGTATTAAAGCTGCTTTGTTTTAAATGCTATGCAAAATAGTCCTTAGCCAGCTGCCACAGAGTAACTGTTTTACTTTTGGGATTGTAGAGTTGTGACACGGAATACGTGCAAGCAATAAAACATTGTAATGACCTAAGTGGCTATATAAATACTGTTTGTGACAAGCTAATTTGGTGGTTTTTTTTTTTTTCTCCAAAGGATACCACTCTTATTATTTCTTGTTACAATAAATAATGCCCAAGAACTGGGCATTTATCATGTATTAAAGCTGCTTTGTTTTAAATGCTATGCAAAATAGTCCTTAGCCAGCTGCCACAGAGTAACTGTTTTACTTTTGGGATTGTAGAGTTGTGACCTAAACTACAGAGGTTTAGCCTGAAACCAGAGGCTACAATAAAATTCCATAAAACAACCTTTCTCTTTTCATATTATCTTTTAACCTTTTCCTTTCCTTATTAAAGTGGCAGCTAATTGTTACATGAGGTCTGTTTAACAAATCATTAAGAAAAAAAATCAGGCTTTATTCTTTGTGAAAAGCAAACCTTTTCCAACCTTGACTGTTACAACCACTGCACAGTAATAATCCAAATGAATTAAGGTGTGGATGTCGATACTTCCTGCCACAATTCCCTTCTATTTGTCTCTTGAACATTTGTAAATCCATCAGGAAATTAGGCTGTCTATTCTTTATAGAACTTAAATCTGAGTGCACAAAAGGACATGAAATTAGTCAATTGCTCTCATCTGGGGTGGAAAAGGAGTTCTTCATGGTATTTTTGTATCTCTGTAATAGTATACCTTTAGAAAAAGGGAAAATATAAAAATGCCAAAAAGTAGGCTTAACCAAGGAATAATGAAAATCAGGAATGGAAGGTGGAGCACAAATTTAAATGTGTCTGAAAGGCTCTGAGAGAGACAGAGACACCAATGATTGAGAACACAAATATACTAAAAACAGGAGAAGCTTGGCTGTGTGGAAAGAAGCTTCAAATAAACAACTGACAATGAGTGCTCCTATTCACGTTGTTAGAAGACATTTGTCCATATAACAGAGCTGCCAAACAGCCAGGCATAACTGACTGTTTCTGCTTAACAGATGTCCAGAAGATCTTTGAGGAACCTTTTGTTTCCACAGTGTTCTTCAGTGGAAAGGGGCCCTCAGTTGCTTGGGACAGTCCAACCCAGGAAGAGTCCCCTTTCTCACGCTGTTGGCCTCAGTAGCCTGAGACCATGTTATTTCATGTTCAGAAAAAGTGTTTGTCATGCACCAGTACAGGCTGGGGGCTGACCTGCTGGAAAGCAGCTCAGCCGAGAGGGACCTGGGAGTCCTGGTGGATGACAATCTGACCATGAGCCAGCAGTGTGCCCTTGTTTCCAGGAGGGCCAGTGGTATCCTGGGGTGCATTAAGAGGAGTGTGGCCAGCAGGGCGAGGGAGGTTCACCTCCCCCTCTGCTCTGCCCTGGTGAGACCCCACCTGGAGCACTGTGTCCAGTTCTGGGCTCCCCAGTTCAAGAAAGATGAGGAACTCCTAGAAAGTAGTCCAGAGGAGAGCAACTAGGATGATTAAGGGACTGGAGCATCTCCCCTAGGAGGAAAGGCTGAGAGAGTTGGGCTTGTTCAGCCTGAAGAAGAGAAGACTGAGAGGGGACCTCATCAACATGTACAAATATCTCAAGGACGGAAGTCAAGAGGATGAAGCCAGACTCTCTGCAGTGGTGTCAGCACCAGGACAAGAGGCAATGGGTACAAGCTGAGACATAAGACGTTTCAGTTGAACATGAGGGAAAAACTTCTTTACTCTGAGGGCAATGGAGCCCTGGAACAGGCTGCCCAGGGGGGTTGTGGAGTCTCCTTCTCCGGAGATATTCAAAGCCTGCCTGGACGAAGTCCTGTGTAACATGCTCTAGGGGAACCTGCTTTCACAGGGGGGTTGGACTAGATGATCTCCCGAGGTCCCTTCCAACCCTTGCCATTCTGTGATTTAAAAAAAAAATTCAACTAGTTTAACGTTGCACTTGTGAAGTGACTTACTGCTGCGTATAGAGCATTCACTCAGGTAACTGATGAGAAATGGCTTTGCGAGACAGTTATGCTAAAGCCCATAAATCAAAATTCTGGTTACTTAATCCAGTGGTGGTAACAGATGGAATTAACACTTTTTGGAAATTGTAGCTACGTCAATTTTCTCACTGAGTGTACATAGCAATACAATATGCATATCTTTTTATTGATGGAGAGAACCTACTTGAATTATGCTTTTACTTGATTGCTATTTCAGTGGTATTTTGCCAGTCTCTTCCAATTGTGAGATCATCACAATTGTTCCTCTTAATGACACGAGAAATCTGTCTTTGCAAGGACGTGAAATTTCCAATGAGTAATTCTCCAATAGAATTGAAGGCTGTAGTAAGAGTTACTTTCAGATTATCTTGGAAGTTGCCATTGTGATACTGAACTCTTGCATATACCATAGGTTCCACAAGCTAAAGGGACAAGGATTGGAAATTGTGTAGCTGAAAAGCTCCAGCATGGACAGAGTCATTGCATCTAAGAATGCACATTTCTAACCCAGTGATTCTTTTTTCTGTTGCCTTGTAGGTTGTCAAGATATTGCAGATGAATTTAGAGCACAAGAAATTGACGGACAAGCTCTCCTCTTGTTGAAGGAGGATCACCTTATGAGTGCAATGAATATTAAGCTTGGACCTGCATTGAAAATCTGTGCGCGTATCAATTCATTGAAAGAATCCTAGGGGGTGAACATGAAGGTTTAAACAACAGTTTCTCAGTGACAGAACCGACAGTAACATGCCAATATCTTCACTGTGGCATGAGTATTACTGTGATGTTTTGTTAAATACATGGGGGTTTCCCCACATAAAGACTTAAAAATGTTCCTTTGATTATACCAGGTAGTCCTCTGTAGTTTCCAACAATTAATAGGTTCGTGGTAAAGCCTGAGTAATACTTTGAGTTGAAGTGGGAGTTCATGGAAAAACATGACGTGAAATACGCTGCGATAGCTTAAATATTCCCAAATATGTACTTTATCTTGTAAGTTTAAGATTAACGCCCCAGCACCCACCCCAATCTAAACACCATTTAAATTGTGTTGCTGTATTCTGAAAGATTTTTCCCCACATACAGCCATTTTTGGACTGAAATAATAGAAGTGTCCACAGACTCTGTGGAAGCACTAATAACAGTAAAATGCTATGCATTTAGTTGTGCTCTCTGAGTTTCTTTTAGTCTTGAGCAAATTGTTTGTAAGGGGTAGGTTGGCAGCCTGTTTTCCTTGTGTAGGCTTACCCTCATCTCTGCCACTGTAGTATTTTCTTGAAGTCTGGAAATACTATAAACCATGTAGACGTCTCATCGAAATCCTCATCATCAGGCTACTGAAATGCAATGGCACGACACTCTTGCCGGAGGTAACTGAAGCACATGTTACTTTACTCTTTGTATGCTGCTATGCACTGAGAGGGCATTAAGTTGTTAGGTTTGTAATTTCGCATGCTGCTAGTTAAACTAGACCAGCAGTTCTCAAATGGGGGTTCAGAGTGGATCCTGGGAAGGTGTGAGAGCACTCAGGGTTCAGGTTCCCAAACGCCTAGGTGTGAGGGGCTGAAAACTGCAGCCAGAACTAGCTCATGTTGAGACAAGTGTACTTTAAAGACTGCAGGTAGAGAAGGGATAGCATAGCTCAGATGCTCTGTTTCTTGATACCTCTTCTAACTTGTCTTTCCCTGTAGTGCATTCCCATTGCCTCACTGGAAGCTTCCAAGCACCTTTTATTTGGCCACTGGCTAGCGTGAGCTGGGCTTGCAGTAGTCTGAGGAAGGAGCGTGGTGAGTTGCTCAATGAGGTCCTTTCAGAGCTCGGTGTAGGAGCAGCCGCTGCTGCAGGGAGGGAGCCTGGAGCCACAGGCAGGCAGGAGGAGTGTGGGGAGAAATCTCTGGGGTCCTGCTTTGTCTCCTCTGGCAGGAGATTTTGACCTGGATGCTGCAGCCCCAGGTGGTGTGGTTTTAGTGGCTCCCTTCATCTTCCCTCTCTCGCACTCTGCGCGGAACAAATATCTCTTTCCCCAGTTACTGACGCTCTCGGAAGCTGCTCAGGCTCTGAGGCTGCAGCACCTTCTTGGCATTTGCTTCCCCATCGCCTGCGTACGGATGTTCATGGATGTATTTCGTACCTTCTGTTCCCTCCCTTTTGCAGCTCCACTCCCCTTAATGTACAGACCTTGATCCCTAAGCTCTTGTGTAGGGGAAGAAGGGTATGTGTGCTGATACAGTCGTTGTGTATATTTGAATTAAATATGTGTATGTGTCTGCAAATACTGTATTTTGTATTTTATGCAAATTAATGCATAATATATGGTTGTGTAGGGAGATATTCAGGGGGACCCTAAAGTATTCCTGAAAAGAAGAGGAACTGATCTAAAGTTTGAGAACTGCTGACCTAGATCAAAAGGAGTCAATGCACATACACTGGCTGAAAAGAAGGTTTATGACAGGTAGATTAATATGTATATTATTTAACTGATGACCTTAAAGAGTAAATTGGAATTACAGAAAAATCTGTGCTTCATTTTCCTTTTATTAGACTATTGCTTTGTTTCTACTAACAGACTTTCTGCCATTATCTTCCAGAGATCAACAGTAGAATCACTGTTTTTAATTACAACTGTTTGAGCTTACTAATAGCAGATGTTACTAATATTTTTATTAACCACTGAAGCTCCAAGTTAGGACAACCTATTGCTGTTACGTGCTAGTATGTGGTGAGACCCCTTATCCAAATGGCACCAAAGGCTTTAGAGAATTCATTGATGTCTGGGTTTATTTTGGAGGGAAGTTGCTAAGCACTTTCTAATTTGTTTTTTTCTGTCTTCGGTTACTGTTGTCAAATAAACTTCTTAGTTGAAGGTTCGATGTTTGGCAATGTTCATTTGAAAGGTATTCAAATGACGGAGACAGTAGGTTCCCATTTGTAGCATTTCTGTAAGATACACTGTGTAGCATATCTGTAACATAAGTTCTAAAGGATGCGTTCTCTTTTGATGAGCTAATTGAAGACTAAAGATATCTTAGATATTTATCCTTTGGCTTTTGTCTTAAAGTTTTATTATTTTTATACGAAAGTTTCACTGGCTAATTTTTAATCTTTCTTCTGATTGTACTGTTCTTTGGCAATGTAAAAAGTAGGTATACGTAAATGTGATTTGGTAATGGCTTAAGGCATATTGGAAAATGTGGATTTATGAGTCTTATTTAGACCTGCAGTTAATCGCAGTGGTGTTACATGCATGAGAATTTCACAGTTGTTTTAATTTTGCTTTATTAGACAGCTTTCAGGAGAACTTCTACCGCTAGTGTTTATATACGACTCTCGGACATAATCACTGACTGATGCCAGGAGCTCAGAGTAGACCTGGTTAATGCACGCCTGTTCAGGTTCTTCTGGTACACTACATTTTCTGTGGTTTTGGGAGAGTCACAGATAGTGAGTTATGCTTTAAATATTCATGAATGCAGCAACTAAGAATGTGGGCCTTATGCACATTGGAAGTTTTTTCGCCTTCACTGATTTTGGCATTAAGCAGGAGCTTAGGAGCAGGCACAGCTATACTAACCTACGCTGATAGAAGTGCACATCCATTGGAGTGTTTGCCAGTATCGCTGTGTCAACAAAATCAATTAAAAAAAAATCACACTTGTACATAAAAGTACACTGGAAAACTTTCAAGTGCAACTAAAGTCTACTTCAGAAGTTTTTGAATTTACTCTGAAAAGCAATATAATACTTCGAGTAATATTCCTCCAGAACCATTCTGCATACCAATCGCTTGTTTCTGTTTAGATCAGTGAGATTTTCCCAGGCTTATACTACCATTTTCTGTGGCTTTCCCCACAAGTTCAGATAGCCCCTCTTGCGAAAGAGGAAGTATTGCAGATTTTAGTTGACTCTTTTTTTTTTTTTTTTTTTAACACTTGCTCCCACTGAATGTGTCTACAAGAAACCCTTTTTGTTATCTCTGTTTCCTGGGGTTTTGTATTCTGTATTCAGACCGCTGCTGTTGTGAGCTACATCTCACAGTAATCCCCACAATTTTTCAGTTCCTATCAAAAGGAATATAGGGCACCGTAGGATCTTGGCTCAAAAGGGAGATATGTTGGATGGCTTTTTCCCTTCCTTTTTCTCTGCTGGTCTCCGTCCTACCCTATTCCTTAATGCAAACTGCAGCATTAGCTCAGGGCAAAACCCTCTTGCAGAGTACTGGGCTGACTGTGGCTGTCAAGATTTCTTCCAACAGAATTGTAACTGTTACACTTGTCTTGGCTTCAGAGTTTATTTGGGGTCTTAAAGAAACGCACCTGAATGGACAAAATGGGTATGCAGATTCCTCTGCTCAGTCTGGCCCATATCACTCAACAGCCCTGCTTTGCAGCTGAAATGGAGAACTCCAGCAAGGAAGCTCGGCCACCTCCGCTGACCGAAGGGCTCTGGGAGCTCTAGGCTGCTCCTTGTTCAAGAACAAGGATTGCAAATGAATTCCTAACTTCTCCCAGCCAACCCATATTGCCTGACATCTGGCACGTTCATAAGGCTCTATCACTTTGCCTATATAGAGAATGAAAAACATCTCGTCAGGTTAATCTGTCAGTTGCCTGACCAGAGAACGTTTGAAGGGTTTTTAAACAGACTGCATTGTAAATCCCTTCTTTAACCATTAATCCATCATATTTTTTTCCAGAAATGAAGTTCTTGATGGAGGGTAAAACCTTTGCTAGATTTGTGTCAATGAGTTATCTCAAATAGAAAGTTCATGTCCTGCAAGCATCCATTTCCTCATTCTTTCCTATGAAAGCAGGGTTTTTTTTTTTCCCTAACTTCTTTTTGAACAAATCACAAGTGGGAATCCAGCCTTTTGAGTAGAACAGATGGAGCCCATCATAACTGCAGATGTGGCAGCAAGAGGAGAAAAATGGGATAAAAATAAGTATTTGAGCAGGCTTACGATAGCTTTTGCATCGCTTTATCTCAATCTTAGCTGTAAGGAAATGTTCAGGTATAAAACCAGTTCTTAACTGTAGCTTGAATGCACGTTGATGTGGTGAGACTTTGCTGGGCGCCGCGTGTCACTGCCTGGCATGCCGGTTGAAACGAATGCCGACTTCAGATGACTGCTCTCCTTGTAGTATCACAATATCAATGCAGAGCCGTACAGCTCTACAGCTTCAGACATTTCTTAGACATTGACAAACGTGTACTCTGAAGTGATCAAAGAATTCAATGACAGCTGCACCGTGAGTCCTGGTTTTGCAAATAATGAAGACATCCACGTAATTTATATCATGAGTAGTTCCAGTTTGTATTGAGACTATTGACACTAAAATTAAGCATGTGTATGAAAGTTTGCAGGGTTATTTTCTCACCAGTACTGCACAGAGATTTCCTGTTAGCATATATTTAGATACGTAGTTGTCATGCACTAGCCAAACTTTATGCATCAGTTGTTCTAGGCTGCAGATAATGGCTCTGCAAAAGAATCAATCTAGCATACTTTTTTTACATGTTCACCCAAATTAGTTTACTAGAAATGGAGAGAAACTAATGTTTTAAAGTATTTTGCTTTAAATGTACTGTTTCTGTTGAATGCTGAGCAGAACAGGTATGAACAGAGCTATAAATGCATAATTTGAAAAGTGTTAATAATTGCTCATAGTGAATTAATTTTTAAGTCACTCTTGCACAGTGAGCTGTAGTTTCAGGCAGGAAATATTGTGAGGAGAAAGAAATTTAAACTCATTTAATGCTTAGTTCATTTAAGCTAAGCCTAAAGTAAGTTAGTTTTGCAGGAATTTGCCTTTAGTTGTGAGAACTTACTTGGACCCGATCGGTTCTATGTAGTTATATCCACTGGATGGCCTGGCAAATAGCGACATTTAAAAAAAGAGATGGTAATTATGATACAAATAAGTGCCTGCTGTGTAGATGCTACATCTGCTTTCTTTTTCAAAAAGCTGTCCCTAATGCCAGCCTGTGCCCCGCAGGGACGTAGATTGCGAAGAAGAGCAGTTAGCACACATTACCCTAAATCCATATGAATCAGGCTGGTTTGGTTTTACCATCCGTGTAACTTCAGAGGAGCTCTGTCTGTGCCGTTTCCTTCTCTATCTCAATTTCTAAATGTGCTTTCTGCCCTGGCGGGTGTCAGCTGTGTTGGCCAGAGGATTTTGTGTCCTGCTTGTCCCCTGGGTCTCGCCATCAGCACTTCCACGTGTATTCAAGGCCCCGTCCTAAGCTGCCGTGTAGGTGTTTGTAACTTCTACGTTAAATCTTACACGCACCTGCTCATTCACTTGAAGGTTGTGCGTATTATTTACTGATCTCTTAGAGCAAAGTGGAAGGAGAAAGCAAAATTCAAAGATGTGAATATGCTTGTAATTGAAGGTATGTGGTAAGCTCATAGTCCAGCTTTTGTAACCGTTGTTCTAACTTTTCTGAAGCACAGTTCTGGGAAGTCAGTGTTACGAACAGATTTCAAGTTAAAAAATTTTAAACTTAGCTTCCTG